CGGGGGAGGGCCCGGAGACCCCGGCCCCGCGCGACCGTCGGCCTGGCAGGAGCCAGACTTGGAAGGCGGCCGCGTTCTGCTCCCCTCCTCCCACTTCGTCCCGAAGAAGGAGCCTTACCCCTTCCAGACCCAAATACCGCTCTCCTGGACAACCACTTTCACTCTTTGAGAGAAAGGGCGACCACCGGGGGTGGTGTCAGCCGGAGCGCCATCCGCTCGGATGGCTGGCCACAGCGGTTGTCATGGCAACCCTTCCCCAACCTGGAGCCCTCCCCCCTTCTCCCCTTCCTTCCACCTTTGTGGTCTTGGAGCCCCTAACCTCTCTGGACTCCCTTCGCACTAGGAGAAGGTTTCTAAGGTAACCTAAGTCCCTGGTGGTCCTTCTGCTGCAACCCTCATCGGTTACTATGGCAAGCCCCCCCATCTAGTGCTCAGGTGGGAACGACCCCAGCCTCAAGGACACTGATCTTTAAGAGAAACCACCTCTTCCCCAAGCCCTCCCTTGTAGCCACCCAGTTCGTGTTACCATGGTAACCGTCTTTCCTTTCCCATCGTGGGAGGTCGGTGGACCAAACCAACCAGGTGTTTTTATTTAGAGATGTTCTGCTGAGGGGCAGTTGCTATGGTTACAAGGCCTGGACCATCCCCAGGGAGGTGGGAAACAGGCTAGGCCAAGCCCTGGTTACTATGGTAACAGGGCGCCCCCCCCCCCCCCATGACCCTAGGAAACAGGCCCAACAAAGTAGGGGATGCTTGAGAATGGTCTCTCAGGGATGGAGTGTGTCTAGGGAGGGGGTTGTCATGGTAACAGCTTCTATCACTTCTCGCCCTACCTTTTCTGGACATATTAGTGAGAGAGGGATGGTTATAGGTTGCTATGATAACTGACATCCCTCCCACCTGACCCCACTCCTGAGATGCCCTAGGTGGTGCCCAAGCTTCTGCGACTTCAAGGGAAAGGAGTCCCTGACCTCTTAGTTGCCACGTGTGGATAAGATGAAACTGCTCTATTGTGCAAAATTGGCTGATGTGGGGTTTTCTGGTTCTCCTCTCCGCAGTGCAACTGAGCTGGGCTGGAACTGCCCTCCTGGAACTCCCCCAGCCTGCAACCTAGGAGGTAAGAAGTCCCTCAGTGTCACCAGCACCCACGTAGAGACTGCCCTTTCCTCATCACCAAAGCCTTTCCCCATGATTCCTGAAGCGAATCTAGATTCACTCACATTGTTTTTGGGGGAATAGGGAGACAACTAGGGCCTTGGCCTAACTGTCCCCTCCACTCCTGACTACCTGTTCTAAAGCAAGCCTCCCTTGTTTCTCTGACCCCTCTGCTCTGTTTGGTGTTTGTCGGTCTTTCTATCTTCTCTTGGAGGGCAGACCCAGTGACTACTTAGTTCATCGTGTGTCCTCAGAACACGGGGTCTCCCACAGAGAACACTCGATAAGTGTCTGTTTCATTGAATTCACTAATAAATGTGTCATATTCAGCTTTGAAAGCACCTGTCAGGTTAGGGCTGAGGAGGGCTCAACAAAGACAGGCTGAGAGTAGACCCCAGAAAGACAGCATGACCCTGGAGCTTTTTGGATCAAATCCTGAGTCTACCACTTCCCAGCGGTGTGACCCTGGGCAAGTGACTTTCACCTCTCTGTGACTCTGTTTCCTTATCTTTAAATGTGATTATAACATGAGGTTTAGCCAAGTAAATAGGCATCAAATGCTTAGAACAGGGCCTAGCTGTTGGAATTGTTGAGCTTATGCTCTCAGTTCAAAACAGTGTAAAACATTCAGGCCTTCAAAATCATCATTTCATCTTCCTTGCCCAGTGAAGGGATTTGTAGGCCTCAGAGGTGATGAGGCCTGGACTAGCCTGGTCAGGGTGCTAGGTGACTCCTCTTTCCTTCTGAGTTTCCCTCACAGCCTCACCACCAGGTGGCACCTCCTCCCCTGGCCATCCAACCCACTGGTGTCTGAGGATCTGGTTTCTGTCCTCTGCCCTGCTGGGCATGTCCTGGCCCAGAGTCAGCCAGATAGCGTGGTGAGAGCCAGGGCCCTGGAGGTAGAGATTTACATTCTGGTCCCTGCAACCTTCCCATCTCTGAGCACCTGGCTCCGTATCTTAACAATTCAAGTTTTTCATTCATTCAATTTATTGAGCACCTGCTACGTGCTAGGCACTGAGCCATGCTCTGGGGATACAGCAGGGAACAAAACAGATCCCCACCTTCCGTAGGGACTCCAACAATAAACAAAGTAAAATCTACCTGGTAACTACCAGGGAAGAAAATAATGCAGGGACAGGGACAAGAAGTATGTGGGTGATAGGAATGTGTGTTTTTAAGTAGGATGGTCAAAGGACTGGGGCCTGGTGGCTTACACCTATCATCCCAGCAGTTTGGAGACTGAGGCAGGAGCATTGGTTGGACCCAGGTGTTCGAGACCTGCCTTAGGCAACAAAGCAAGACTTTGTCTCTACAAAAAATCAAAAACTTAGCTGGGTGTGGTGGCGCATGCCTGTAATCCCAGCCACTCAAGAGGCCAAGGCAGGAGAATCGCCTGATCCCAGGAAGTTGAGGCTGTGGCAAGCTGTAATCGCATGCCACTGCACTCTAACCTAGGTGACAGGGTGAGACTCCAACTCAAAAACAAACAAGTAAATAAGATGGCCAAAGAAAAGGCTCGTGGGATTGTGATCCTTGAGAAAGACCTGACGCCATGGAGAAGGGCACCAGACAGAGGGAGCAGGCAGTTCTGTGGCTGGAAGGTCCCAGCTGTGTGTGAAGAACGTGGTTGGCGGCCGATGTGGCTGAAGCTGCAGGAGTGGGTAGGAAGGGACAAGAGAGCACAGGGGACCTGTGGGCCACAGGGAGGATGTTGGCTTTTCCTGTGAGGTACGAGCCACAAACGGGTTTGAGCAGAGGCAGGACAGGATCCAATTTGAGCTTTTCTTTTTTTTTTGAGTTGGAGTCTCACTCCGTCACCCCGACTGGAGTGCAGTGGCATACTCCCGGCCACTGCAGCCTCAACTTGCTGGGCTCTGGCGATCCTTCCGCCTCAGCCTTCCAAATAGCCGGAACTACAGGCATGCACTACCATGCCTGGCTAATGTTTGATTTATTGTAGAGATGAGGTCTCGCCAAGTTGCCCGGGTGGGTCTCAAACCACGGGCTCAGGCAATCCACTCATCTCGGCCTCCCAAAGCGCTGGGATTATAGGCTGAGCCACCGAGCCCGGCAATTCGAGCTTTAACAGAAGCCCACTGGGCACCGAGTGAGGAACAGACTGCAGGGGACAAGGCAGAAGCAGGAAGATGGTCTCTTGCTCCCACCTTAAAAGATTGGAAGATTCCAATCTTAGGGTCTCTTCTGAGCTCCTGTGTACCTAAACTCTAAGGTACTAAGATGTTTGGACTCTAGTTCCAAAGGTTCCTGCCCCTGTGATCATGAGAGCCACGAGGGCAGGGATGCCATCTGTATCCATTGCCGTATTCCCAGTGCTTAGAACAGTGAGGGCCTGGCCTGTCGAGGCATTCAACACATACATGTGGAAGAATTGGAGTAAGGAAGGATCAGTCTAGGTCCAGAAGATTCTGGGTTTTTTGTTTATTTGTTTTTTGAGTCAGAGTCTCACTCTGCTGCCCAGGCTGGAATGCAGGGACACAATCATGGCTCACCACAGCCTCTAACTCCTGGGCTCAGGTGATCCTCCCTCCTCAGTTTCCTGAGTAGCAGAGACTACAGGTGCACACCACCACACCAAACTAAATTTTAATTTTTTGGACAGATGAGGTCTTGCTGTGTTGCCCAGGCTGGTCTCAAATTCCTAGGCTCAAGCTACTCTCCTGCTTCCTCCTCCCAAAGTGCTGGGATTACAGGTGTGAGCCACTGCACCCCAACGAAGGTTCTACAGATTAGAAATTTGCTCTTAGCCAGGCTCAGTGGCTCAGCCTGTAATCCCGCATCTTGGGAGGCTGAGGTGAGTGGATTGCCTGAACCCGCAGGTTCGACACCCGCCTGGGCAACTTGGCGAGACCTCATCTGTACAATAAATCAAAAATCAGCCGGGCGTGTGCTACCGCACACACCTGTAATTCTGGCTACTTGGAAGGCTGAGGCGGAAGGATCGCCGGGGTCCAGCAGGTCGAGTCTGCGGTGGCTGGGAGCGGCCACTGCACTCCAGTCTGGGCGACAGGGTGAGACTCCAACTCAAAAAAAAAAAAAAGAAAAGAAATTTGCTCTTAAAGTACAACTCAGAGCCAGTTGCAGTGGCTCATACCTATAATCCCAATACTTTGGGAGGCTGAGGTGAGAGGATTGCCTGAGTCCAGGAGTTCAAGACCAACCTGGGCAATTTGGCAAGATTTTGTCACTTAAAAAGAAAACAAAAGTGCATCTCACATCCTTAAGTGCTGTCTAAGTTGGGTCAACGAATGGCAAGCACAGCTGGATGTAGTGGCTCACACCTGTATTCTTAGCATTTTGGGAGACCAGGACAGGAGGATCACTTGAGGACAGGAGTTCTAAACCTGGGCAACAAAGCAAGACCCTGTCTCTAAATTAAAAATAAGTAAAAAGGCAGTTTCTGGCCAGGCTCGGTGGCTCAGCCTGTAATCCCAGCACTTTGGGAGGCCAAGGCGAGTGG